GAATTGTTGTTGTCCTGATTTTGGTTGTTAGAGAAGGCACAGTATGTCTACCTACACCTCCATCTTGGCCGGAAGTCCTGTATTTTAAATTAAAATAATCTGTAGAGATAATTTTTGGTCATTCACATTTTGCATGACAGTTTCTTTCAGTACTCCCAATCCTCTGCATTAGGAAATGGCTGAAGTTAGTGAGTGGTATCATAGACATTTAGTCAGTAAGCAGGAGTCTGATTGTCGCATTAGTTAACCTTCAAGTCATTATTAAGTGACAGAATCTAATGAGCCAAGTAATCTCTTTCTGTATAAAAGTCTACAAACAAATTACAGGGTCTTGGGAGCAACTCACCAGACAAGGACTATCTCACACATGTATGAACATTTTTCTTCAAATAACAGAAAACATTTTAATAAATTTAGCATTACTTGGTATTTAATTTTTTACGTTAAATTTCTTAACAAATGTAGCACTAACTTTGGAAAAAACAAGATTAAAACAACCACATAGGTGGCTGAATAGGCTCACCTTTATGCTATCCTGGGGTTCCATGTAAGCTTTGAAAAATCCCAAACCATTTGGTGCTTTTAAATTTTTATTTATTATGATTATTTTTTAAACCTAAGGATATGTTTATTGATTTTAGAGAGAGAGGAAGAGGGGGGAGAGAGGGAAAGAGAAAGAGAGAGAATGACATCGATGAGAGAAACATTGGTCAGCAGCCCCCCATACGTGTTCCAACAGAGGACAGAACCTACAGCCTAGGTGTGTGTCCTGATGGGGAATCAAATCCACACCTTCGGTGTACGGGACAATGCTGCAACCAACTGAACCACTTGGGCCAGGGCCGCTTAGTGCCTTTAAAAAAAAACGAAATGTCAACCAGTTTCTACTCTGTCTTCAACACCCAGACAATGAGAAATACCAGTGTTCAAGATCCACTGTGGCTAACCTACCATTAACTCAGATTCCCCTGAACAGGAAGGTGTGACAAGGACCAAGGACTCAAAGGCTGAAATGGAAACTCCACGACAGTAGAAGTTTTATCCTTCTACTTTGTTTACTGACTTACTTCTAGCCCTGAGAACATAACTGGAATGTAGTTGATGCTCAATTAACAATGAAAAATATTGATAAAAGGCTATCCTGAAAGGTCCTTTTGGTCCTTCCAAAGTTGGGAGCAACCAACTCAAAGTACAACTGGCAAGACTGGTGGTGTTTCTACTTAACTCACCAAACTCTTCTTTGTCCTTTAAGCCTGGATTTCCACAGCCCCTTATAATTTAGAACATACCCTCTAGCACAATTATGAAAAAGGAACAGAGTTTACACTGCTCTAGACAGGGAGACACAGCCCCAATCCGCCAGGATGTCACTAGAATCTACATGGAGGTTTGTGTGGTGGACACTGCCTGTGACCACACACAGTGTACTCGATCACTAGCGAGGGCATCAGGGCATTCTGACCACGCTGGGATCACTGTCACACTCTAAAGCAGAAACAAACCCGTGTGTCTCTCTGCAAATCTACTTGAGAAGACTGACCTTATTTTACATCTTTTGCAAATATTGTCAATGTCTGGATTAAGGAAGACAGCTGGATTCTCCTACCTGATCTCCACATTCAGCTGGTTGCACATCATAGAGCCTTTGGAAAGCTCCACTGCATACTTGCTAAGCAAGTAGTGTATTAAGTATTGTTATGAAAATAGTTTTGAATCCTGAAAGAGCCTCTGGGGCCCCAGGACCACCCTTCAAGACACTGTTGTAAAAAATATGTACCCTGACAGCCTTAACACTGAGAGACATTCAGAAGGGATTCTCAAACAAGAGAATGGAGTTTAAATAGAGAGGAAAACATTACTGATTACATGTAGCCACAACTTCACAGAAGCCAAAACATTTCGTCAGCATACCTGTTACTTCAAATGTTGCTTACTCTTTGTACTTTATCATATTTCAACAGGAAATAATTGCTATTTGAAGGAAAGAAAAGCCAATGTTTCTCTCTGACAATGCAGACCCCAGAACAAAAAGCACGTACTATAAGTCCTTCCAGTTCCTATATAAACGTTGATTGTTAATGCACATTTACTTTTTAGACCATCACTTATAAGTGACATTCTAATTATAAGACCCATAAGTCACCTTTCTCCTGCCTTTTCTTCTCTTGCACAACTTTCTGCTGACTGTCATTCAAATATTATTTAACAGGACAAAAGAACAATTTCCAATTACCAATCTGTTCCAAACTGCTGCACAGTTAAATCTTTCTGTCTGCATGATTCTCCAAATAGCAGCTAAATGCTAATCTACAAATCAAATGACTCCCAGGGGAGTCCAACCTTTTGGCATCTCTGGGCTGCACTACGAGAAGAGGTATCTTGGGCCCCACATTAAATACACTGCTACACATAATCACACACACACAAAACCCTCATGTTTTAGGTAAACTTATGATTCTGTGTTGGGCTGCATTCATAACCATCCTGGGCTGCAGGTGGCCCGCGGGTTGGACACCCCTGCATCCCTGCTAAATGTACTCAATGTTTGGTCCTTAGCTAGGTTCGGATGATTTCTATACACTACTAACAATTCCTAATGAAGTAAAAACAGCTGTATTCATTTAAGCATGGTCAAGAAAAATAATTGTTTACAAATAATCACCTCACATCATTTTTCTCATACTTAAGAAAATACACAATTTCAAATTTTCCCTCCCATAAGCAAGCAAAAACAGTGCCTGTTTTTGTTACAGTGCCTGTTTTTAGGAAGATATTTGGCTTTTCTGTTTTATTTAAATTCACACTTATCTTAGGAAACCCTGAAAGAGTTTTATTAACTAGAATGGCAACCCTCTACTCAGCAACACAGGTTCTGTGACTCTGGGCAAATTACTCAGTTTGTGTCTACTTTCCTCGGCTTTTAAAAGGAAGACAATAATAGTATCTGCTTCACAGGTGAATGACACAATTAAATGAGATAATGAATAAATGAGTGAAGCACTAAAAAAAAACCAGTGTTTGACACATAAGACTCAGGAAATGTTAACTTGTCTTTATGTATTAGTCTTATAATCTAAGAGAGCTCCAAAACAATACAGGAGAAAAAAATATTAAAAAGAGATGACTTTTCTAGTGTCCTTACTTCTTAAAACAATTATACTGACTAAGAAAGTGCTGACAGGCAATAGCAAATAGCTGCTGTCTTTAGGAAATAGGAAAATTATCCAAGACATTTTCAAAACTATTACAATTCTATGAAACTAACAAACAGAAAAGCTACTCAAAGGACCTATCCTTCAAAACAGATTGAAGGAATCTTAGAAAATTCGGCATACCTATCCGGAAACAAGAGAGTTGATCGTTGAGTCCAGCTTTGCCACGGATGCTTTTATGAATGGGATGAAACTACTGCATTCCAAAGACAGTTTATTCTTACGTATCTACAAGCACCATCTACACTGTAAGATGTGCAGTAAGAGTTGAAGGTGTATAACTATTTTCAGTCTAGCATCATATTCTGAGAGAAATGAAGCTTGAAGCCAAAAAGAAAAAAAAATAATCCTTACCATCAGGGTTTAACCTTATCCAAAAAAGTTTAGCTCTTGGGTATATCAGAAAAAGATTAATCTTTGGTATATAAACTCAGATGCATATGAGAATTATAGCTAACATTTACCAAGCACTTACCATCTTCCAGGCGTTATTCCAAATTTTTTATATGGATTAATTAATCTTCAACACGGCATGAGATAGGCATTTTATTGTTCCCACCTTATGTTCAAGGAACTCAGGCACAGAGAAATTAACCTGCCCAACTGTCAAGTTAACAGTGGCTAGTCAAGAACAGTGTGACTCCTAAGCCCAAGTTTTTAAATACTAGGCAAGGAAGAGCACTGCACAAATATGTATCATACACTTACATGAGGTCTGTCCAGAAAAAGTCCAGCCATTGTTGATACAATGAGAACGGTTTGTGCAATATCGATATAACCTGGCAGCCAAGGAGGGTGGACTGGAATGCATGTGTGTGAACAATGATGACTTTACTGTACTAGTCCGTGGGGGTGGTGGATGCCATTGAGTGACCGTGTGTTTTGTGGGGCCATGGCATTCAAAATGACTGAGCAATTACAGCAACAAATCTACATCAAATTTTGTTTTAGGCTTGAACATTCCTCCTCAGAAAACTATTCGGATGATTCAGAAGGCCACAGCTATGGGCAACTGGTGATTGGCAGCTTCATCATGACTATGTGCCTGCTCATGCATCACGTCTTATGCAGAGTTTTTGGGGGAAACATCAAATCACCCAGGTGAATCAGCCCCCATCCAGCCCAGATTTGGCACCCTGTGACTTCTGGCTTTTCCTAAAACAAAAATCACCTTTGAAAGGTAAGAGATTTCAGACTATAGATGAAATTCAGAAAAATACAACAGGGCACCTGATGGAGATTGGGAGAACCGTGTGAGATCCCAAGGTGCCTACTTTGAAAGGAACTGAGGCATCATTGTCCTATGTACAATGTTTTTGTATCTCGTATCTTCTTCAGTAAGTTTCTCTATTTTTCATATTACATGCCTGGATACCTTCTAGCCAGATCTTGTATACTCTCTGTGAGGGTACTAAGATGCAGGTAGAGGGCTTTGGTTATGCATGTTGAAATTACTGACAACGAGAATGCATGAACTTGTGTAATTAAACAATTTTATAATATCATAAAGTTAGTCACACCTTTTGTGGGCTTTCTGTGGAATTTCACTTGATTACCACCTGATACACAAATATGGCTGTGTCCTCTCTTAGCTTAAGTTGATCCATAATACTGAAAAATTCTCAACAATAAGAAGGAAATGGTGAAAGTTCAGGACGGAGATAAGATAAAAACAGAGACTGATCACTCATAGTAACAGTATCCCAACCTTGGCCATCTATTACAGATTGGCCATACATAAGCTATTATAATTTTCATTAATATATTTTTATTATAATTTTATTTCTTACCCATTAAACAAGTTTTTTTCCATCTTCTTCCATATTATTCTACTGTCATGGATTAAGTTTCCTCTTCTCTATTACCTATGGAGAAAAACAATCTGTAAGGTGGGCAAGAGGAAAGTGATTTTATGAATTTTACTTATAAATTCAAAAAAAGGATCAGTATATTAAAATGCAATTTAATGAACTCCATACAAGTACTCAAAATTAATGCAGAAGAGTGAAAAAAGCTATGGGCAATTGAAGATTTTTTCAGCTCAGGGCAATAGAAGATTCAGTCACTAATGAACCAGCTGATTCATAAGTGGAAGTAAAAGTTTATGTCCTGAAAAAATACACCTCTGCATTTGCCTTAGGTTTTAGAGATTATACATTGTCTTTACATATAACCCCAAACTGTCAATAAAACCAAAACCAATTCATGGTAACAAAAATTCTCATGTATCATAAGCTAAAATTATTTGTGCATCAGTAAAATATATAATAATGAAAGATGCCATGAGGCGACCCTTTCGTTTTAGGTGGGTTAGTGCCTTTTTAGGGAAGCAACATGCTATTTTTAAAGCAGCATACATTCTATACGCAAGGACATCAGATTAGTCAAAGATATCTAGAGCATATGATTTGGACAAATTACATGTGTAATCATTTTTTAGGCTTCTGACACTTTGTTTGGAAAGCAAGACTCAAAAAGCTTGAAATTAGTACACTGTCAGCCTACTTTGTCATCCTGTAACTAACAATAAGAATTCCTCCTAGAAGGAAGTTTTCTTTGTGAAAATATGTTCCCTCCGTATGGGTCACCCCACCCCTCACGTCCAGCTCCTTGAGGTGAATGAATCCCTGCAGAATGGCTGTCAAGAGCCAAGAATGGCTGTCAAAAGACAAGGGAAAGATGAGCCAGTATAATGGAGCAAAGTTGGGATTAGATGGGGTGAGGTTCTCGGGTCAAGGGAGGCCTGAAAACATTTGGGGATGGGGATGCTTTACTAGGGGAGCTGCATTAATGCGACGTAAGGCTCGCCCACCTCCGTTTGGTCTCCTTTCTTCAGTTAGGTGTACCAAATCCGCAAATGTCCTGTGTGAATTAGGGTCTTTCTAAAAATCAGAGGAAGAACCCAGTTTCACATCTGAGTACACCACAGTGCACGTCAGTGGTGCAAGGTAAGAAAATAGGGCTCTAGGAGACAGAAGTAACTGCCAGAAGATAAAACTCAGGGAACGCACAAATACTTTTAGAAAGAGCTTACCATTTCCACATGTTCTAGGATGCAGATTTGAGGCAACCCTATCCAGGAGGCAAAGCCAACCTTATGTGGATGGGGGTTTTATATCCTCAAAATTTCCCTCTTCCCTACCCAAATAATCCTACTTTCAAGAACACCAAAAGATTAAAAGTTAACTTAATTACATTTAAATCCAAGTTATTTTTTAATCCCCACCTGAGGATATATTCATTGATTTCAGAGAGAGAGAAAGAGGGAAATAATGATGTGCGAGAGAAACATCAATCGGCTGCCTCTTGTTCACGCCCTGACCAGCGATCACCTGCAACGTTCTGGTGTTCGGGATGATGCTCCAACCAACTGAGCCACCTGGCCAGGGCTGCATCCAATTTATCTTAACTAATGCTTGGATCTCTCTAAAAGTTGACCACAATAATCAATTCTATTCTAAACAGTACCTAGGATATTTAATAAGATGGAGTTTAGGCAGGCTTAAAAGACCTATGAAACAGTTATTAATTTAAAGAGTAATGACTTCAATGATTAGGATAGTGATCTTGAAAACTGGGAAATTATAATAAATCAGCTTACTATTAATAAGACACACATTCAAATATTTTCCAGCTAGGCCCCACTTATATCATTTAAACTACTGCAATATACTTTTGAATGGGGGAAGGGAATTACAGGATACATATATAAAATAAATCACTACAATAGAAACAAACAAAATGTGGATGACAACCTTGGGGTGTGCAAACTTTTAGTGTCTCTGGGCCACACTAGAAGGAAAAAGAGTTGTCTTGGGCCGCACATTAAATACACTGCCACACGTAATCAAAAAATTTTTCATGTTTTAAATAAACGTACAATTTTGTGTTGAGCCACATTCACACTGGGCTGTCTGTGGCGTGTGCCCTGTGGCTGCAGGTTGGACGCCCCTGCAAAGGTCTTTGAAATAAAGTCCCCAACAGGCATATTCAAGCTGATCTATTAATGAAATTTGCTGAACTGTTAGGCTTTCTGGTGTCAAGCAAGGCAAGATGTAGACAGAAACAGAGAGCACTTATTGTCAGGGTATCCACTTTCTAGCACAGCGTATAAGCAAGTTATTTAACTTTCTTAAGCCTGTTTTCTCACCCACGTCATAGCACTGGTGTAAGGTTAAACGTGAATATTGGTAAAATGCTAGTACACTGCCTGGCACATAGCCAATGATCCCTTATCTTTTTGCCTTTAGTATCACTCCAAGTAGTTAATAATGCAAAAGAAACAACATTTTACATTTCAGTGCAACAAAAGATGCAAGAGCTGCTGACTTTACTGTTCTAAGATTCTAAATTATTAGTTTACCATGGATTTTACCCATTAACAGCTCTGAATAATGATTTCAGTTCAAATTCAGGACCTCTGCATAGAAACTGCAAAACAGACAGACTTACGGTTTTCTGTGAAACACAAAGGGTGCTAAGTTTGCATCCATACCCTCTGACTGTGGTTAGGAATAACCTAGTGGTAAAATCTAAGTTCACTTGCCAAATAAATTTCCTTCCTTCCTACCTTCCTTCTTTTCTCTCTCTCTCTCTCTCTCTCTCTCTCTCTCTCTCTCTCTCTCTCTCCCTCCCCTCCTCTTCCTTTCATTCTTTTAATCCTCATCCGAGGATATGTTTATCAAGTTTTAGAGAGAGAGAAAGGGAGAGATAGGAAGAGAAACATTGATGTGACAGAGAAACATCGATTGGTTACCTCTCATATGTACCCCTACCAGGGGTCAAACCCATAACCTAGGTATGTGCCCTGACTGGGGATTGAATCTGAAACCTTTTGGTGCACGGAACCACACTCAACCAACTGAGCCATCTGGGCACAGCTGGCTTGGTTTCTTGTAAGCTGTTTATTAAAATGTTTTTTTTCTCCATTAAGCATGGGTTTATGAAGCTGTTACACAATATACATGAAATGACAACCTGGACTGTGAGCTCCCTGGACTTTGAAACAAAGTTGTTTCTCATTCATTTTTGTGTCCCATTGTCTTTATATTGTTGTTTGAATCAATCACTGGTGGACGACCCCCTTTTTTAAATTTAAGTTTATCATGACTAGGCAGGAAAATTGTACTAAGGGAGAAATTTGGTCCACAAGACAAACATGGCCACTTTTTTTTTTTTTTTTTTTGGTAAGAGACAACTTAGGCCCAGCAAAGTTAAGGGATTTGCTGGAGGTTCCAGTACTGCTTCGGGGAGAAGCCAGGCTAATCCCGGTGTCTCCTCAATCCTGAGCCATTTCACAAAGGGATTCAATTTGTTCATGTGTGTTTCTAAAGACAAGGTATTTTGATGCTCAAAGAAAACCCAGTAATAGTAGAGGGCCTCTGAGGTTTTTTTCCTCAAAAAATATCCCAGGATGGGTGGGTAGGGTGGGCAAGCAGAAGACTCCAGACCAGCTCCTGAAGGGAGTGCTGCTGCTGACGGTGAGTCACCAGCACCTGTCAGCTGGTCAGCTTTCCTACAAGTCTGCAATGGGACCCAGGCATGCATATGTTTAATAGATGCCCTAGGAGACCCTTGCCATCAACAAAATTTGGTAAATAAAAATCTAACCTGTCACTAAGAATAAGGCCTTTAGAAAGTCAATCAACTCTAAAAAGAACTCAAACAGTTATTTTATTGGGTTGTGTTCTCACTGTATACAGAAAGGTTTTTTCCTTCTGTATACACAAGGAAAGAAAAAATTGTTTTTTGTTTGTTTTTTTTTTCCTCAGTGAAAAGGCTTTTTAATGAGTGCAATGGTTGGTGTTTTTAAAAAATACCCTAACCACTGAGTTCACTTCTGGTGAAATAATCCCAGTCATCAAAAATGGCCTGTGCTTTCATTTTCGAGACTGGAATGGAATGGCCTTCCTGAAACACCCCCAGGTGTATGCACACGTACACATGTGCACACACACACACACACACACACACACACACACCATTTCTCTGAAGGCCAAAAGTTTGCTTTCCTAGCTGCAGTGCAGATGACTTTTTTGTCTTGTTTTAATCATCTGACATTCATACAAGGCTGTTAATATGTGCCTGTTTTTCATTCAAACAAGAAACTTTAAAAATACATACATTTAAGTTCATCACAAAGTTTACTTCTTAGGTCATATGCTTTCTAACCTTTATAATGTCTTTTAAATTAAAAACTTCACATGGCACTTACTACTGTAAATTGTAATTTTTGTCACCTTTTCAAAGATACATTCTTGTACTAGAAGAAAATTTCCCATTCTCTCTTGGCCCTCTCAAATAAGAACAATTGGGATGGCTACAATGCCGAGGAAGAGATGCAGAGTCTCAGACGGAAAGAGAGCTGAGCCCCACAGCAGGAACTTTCTTCCCTAAATGTCTCTGTAATGGTTAGGATCAAAAGGGCTTTAGGAATCTGCCTGCCTTGTTGATTGACTTTCATATCTAATAAGAGATTAAATGGGTCTGTTAATTTATAAGTAGCGTAAGAACATAGGAGAGTAAAAACGCCTCAGATTTAGAATCAGAAGGCCTGGGTTTAAGCCCCAGGTTATTTATTCACTTCATTAGCAGTGTGAACTTGGGCACCTCACGAATGTCGGGCCCTCTACATCCTCACCTATAAATGGACATAACATCAACTTATACTCCTTTTCAAGGGTGCCGTGAAGATGAAATAAGACACTGTGCGCCTAAGTGCATTACAAACTGACAAGAGCTGCACATGGGTTAGCCATTCTCTTCTTGCTACTAAAAAGAGCAAAGATTTGAGATCTTTATTCTGGTGAGAAGAGGCATTGACATTCGAACATTCCAGGAGGATGAGTGGCATGCTGGGATAAAA